AAACAGCAAAATAAACAACTGCAAAGACAACGACAACAAAGAAAGCAACGGCCATGATAAAAAAGAAAGTTGACAAGCGACAGCGAAGAAAACAAAAAAAGGAAAGCATAGATACAATAAAAAACACTAGCATTGAAATAAAACATCGAGACCACAGAATCTTTGGTGGAAAAAAAAATCCCAGAAATTTGGCCGAAAAAATCTCACATGGAAACTAAAAAAAAAATTCTCCGAAATTTGGCCGAAAAAATCTCACATGAAAACTCAACAAAAAAAAACAACAAAAAAAAATTCTCCGAAATATAGCCGAAAAAATCTCACGTGGAAACTCAACAAAAAAAAAATACAAAAAAAAATTCTCCGAAATTTGGCCAAAAAAATCTCACATGGAAACCCAACAAAGAAACAACAGCAGCGGAGCCAACAAAGACCACAACGACCAACTGAAACAAAAGCAAAACCGAGCGAGCAAAAAAAAAATCATCTTCACACAGAAAAATAAATGGGAAAGCAGTTGATCGCCAAACATTTATAAAATAATTAACGTTTGTACATAGAAGTTCTGTACACAAATTAATACGAACTTAAATGTGCGAATCGAGGTGCGGTGAAGCTTAATAACTCGTCTTTAATTATCGCAATCTTACCGGATTTTAATCGGATAAATATTTACACGATCTTACGTTTGACACTCATATTTTTTATTTTTCATACATGCATTTTCTTACAGTATTTGAACATCAACAACTTACACATTTTCCAGCTGCGAAAAGATAAGATGGAATGAAAGTCAACAGAATATTTTCAGTGAACAATGAAGCGATCTCATGAATAGGCTAATGAATCAACATGAATAGGCCTATGAATCAACATGAATAGGCCTATTGATCAAAAAAAGAATAGGAATATGAAATACTAAAGATCTCACGCTACCGCATAAGTTCGTTGCCACCGCCATTGTTACAACATGTGGCAATTGTGGCTGATTTATGTGGCAATTTAGAAGAGGCTGGCTATTTCATGTTTTCGAAGATGTTGGCAATTTCAAATGTCCGGAAGAAGTTTTCCATTTCAAGAGTTTAGGGTACAGGAAAATTGCAGGGAAGAACAATGCGATTACACCAAAACGTTCAACGTTTAATTAAATGAAAAGGTATAATTAAATGAAAAGCTTTAATAAAATGAAAAGGCATAATGAAATAAAAAAGTATACTAACACGAAAAAGTATAATTAATGAAATGGTATAATGAAATGAAAAGGTATAATTAAATGAAAAGGTATAATTAAATGAGAAGGTATAATTAAATGAGGAGATATAATTAAATGGGAAGCTATAACTAAATGAAAAGGTATAATTAAATGAGAAGGTATAATTAAATGAGAAGGTATAATGAAATGAAAAGGTATAATAACATGAAAACATATAATTAATGAAAAGGTATAATAAAATGAAAAAGCATAATTTAATGAAAAGGTACAATTAAATGAAAAGGTCCAATGAAATGAACAGGCATAATGAAATGAAAGTTTATGATAAAATAGCAGTACGTGAAGGGCACAGCGAAAGGTATAATGAAATGGGAAGGGAACGAATGCGTAGGCGTATATAACTAGCGTAGAATGCGTAGCTCACGCACGTAGAAGGCCTTTAACAATGGGGCCGTGTGGGGACTGGGGGGGGGGGCTGTGAGTGGGTGTGTGAACGTGTAGAGTGTGTGTGGGTGTGTGAGCGTGTAGAGTGTGTGAGCGTGTATGTGTGAGCGTGCAGAGTGTGTGAGCGTGTAGAGTGTGTGAGCGTGTAGAGTGTGTGAACGTGTATGTGTGAGCGTTTAGAGTGTGTGTGGGTGTGTGAGCGTGTATGTGTGAGCGTGTATGTGTGAGCGTGTTTGTGAGTGTACAAGGAGATAGTTAAAGATATCATACATAAAATGTGAATGCATTCTTTGATTGTGTATCTGTATATACGAGATACGAGTGTGATTTCTTGGACCGGCATACACTACACAGGTGTGTCACACTAACCCAGTTACGCACACATTGTAAATCCACACATGCTTTGGTACACGTAATAAATTTACACAGACTCCGGTACACATGGTAAGCCCACACAGAACCCAGTACACATGGTAGGTTCACGCAGAACCCGGTACACATGGTAGGTTCACACAGATCCCGGTACACATAATAAGTTCAGACAAAACCCGGTACACATGGTAGGTTCACACAGAACCCGGTACACACGATAAATTCAGACAGAACCCTGAACACATGGTACTGTAGGTTCACACAGAACCCAGTACTCATGGTAGGTTCAAACAGATCCCGGTACACATGATAAGTTCAGACAGAACCCGGTACACATGGTAGGTTCACACAGAACCCGGTACACATGGTAGGTTCAAACAGATCCCGGTACACATGGTCATGGTAGGTTCACACAGAACCCGGTACACATGGTAGGTTCAAACAGATCCCGGTACACATGGTCATGGTAGGTTCACACAGAACCCGGTACACATGGTAGGTTCAAACAGATCCCGGTACACATGGTCATGGTAGGTTCACACAGAACCCGGTACACATGGTAGGTTCAAACAGATCNAATAACAATAGTAATAATAATACCATTATCAATTAGAATAATATTAACTATATTAATAATAATGGTAAAAATATTGTTAATAACAATAATAATAATGATAATAATAATAATAATAATAATAATAATAATAATAATAATAATAATTGTAATAATAATAATAATATTAATATTAATAATAATAATAATAATAACGTAAAATACGCTACACTGATCATCAGTTAAGTAGCAGTCACACTTCATTTTATGGCAGTAGTTTGTAGTGTAGCTGCGGCAACTGATAAGAAGATAACATTGCTAATAACTGATAAGAAGATAACATCGCTGATAACAGTCGTATTCAAATTTATGACTCACGTGGTAAACGACGCTCGTTCAGTCGTAAAAATAACTGATATGTCCGCTTATTGTGCACAATATTGTACAATCACACAAATGTTCGGTTATTATATGCAATATCATATAATAAAAAATATTATCATATTGTATAATAAATAATATTACTCGCACTACTGCACTGCATAAAAACGGTTGCAGTTACTGATAAGTCGCATATACTGATCTTATGTATGAAACCCAGCGTTGTGTTCTTTGTTTCGCGGTCACCACTGCAGATGATGTATATGGCTGGTACTGATGAACCATGAACTGCTATTTCATGGTCGTGATCAGCATACTTAGCAGCTTTTAGTACGCAAAATTAATGCACTCAGCATTCACTAAGCATTCATGCAGCCTTCACTTAGCATTCACTAAGCATTCACGCAGTATATTCACTCGGCATTCACGCAACATTCACTCGGTATTCACTAAGCACTCACGAAGTATTCACTCAGTATTCACGCAGCATTCACTCGAAATTCACGCAACATTCACTCAGTATTCACGCTGCATTCATTCGAAATTCACGCAGCATTCGCGCAGTATTCACTCAGTATTCACTTGACATTCAATCAGCATTCAAACAGAATTCACTCAGTATTCATGCAGCATTCACTCAATATTCGCTCGACATTCACGCAGCATTCACTCAGCATTCACGCAGTATTCACTCGACATTCACTCAGCATTCACGCAGTATTCACTCAATTGTCACTCAGTATTCAGTCAATATTCACTCAGTATTCACGCAGTATTCACTCAGCATTCACTCAATATTCACGCAGAATTCACTCGAAATTCACTCTACAACTCACGTTCAAAAGCACAATTCTATAGCAGGCATAATTATAGGCGCATTTTGTGCGGCCACGGTATCCACCGACAGCACCAAGCGATGCTAACATCGTGGCTTGAATTTCACACATGGACGCTGTGTGTGTCTGTGTGGAGGTCATCTGACCGAGCCACTATACAGACAGTGTACGTCATCACAGTATATGTTATAGTGTACACGTCATCACAGTATATGTTATAGTGTACACGTCATCACAGTATATGTTATCATAGAGTACACGTCATCACAGTGCATGTTATCATAGTGTACACGTCATCACGTCACAACAACTCGAGGTCACGTCACAACAACTCGAGGTCACGTCACAACACAACTCGAGGTCACGTCACAACACAACTCGAGGTCACGTCACAACATACGTCACAACACAACTCGAGGTCACGTCACGAGGTCACTCCTTACTGATTTTCGTGTATTTGTTGTTCAACGTCAGTGATAACGATGATAGTGATAGCGCCCGATTACCGTGTGAAGTTAAACGCATGAGCAATGTATACGAATAATGGACGATGAAAGCCGGAAAAATACAGATAAATACAATGTTGATACTTTCCGTATAAACGCGCGTATAAACATAACAGCCGTATCAACATAACTATAACCGTACATAACATAACATAACCGTATCATAACTTTCCGTATAAACATAACAGCTAAACATCGATAAGAGAAATAAAAAGCACATATAAGTAAACAGTTATGCATCTAAAATTGCCTTCTTAAAATTAAGTTAAATGCGTTGCCTTCAGCTTAGCTTGATTTATATTGTTTATTCTTTTCCTTGAATAAGTTTCAAATGGGCTGAGCGCTGCGGATCAATTTTAATATTAATTGATTACAATAAATATTTCATCCGGTGGGCGATGGCTCTCAACGATGGTAACCAGCGAGGCTTTATAATCGTATCTGCGCGTCGGTTCCAATGTAATGCAATCAACAGCAAGCAGTAGTGAAAAATAAGTCTATGGATTAGAAATAGAAAGAAAACAACTTTACAAGAAATTAATCCTAGTCTCAAAATTAAAAATAATATATAATTAAAGATAATGTCCAAACGACGAACCAATTAAATAAATTTAATAGTTTCTTGAGACTTATTACTCATTAGACACAAATTATAGATCGGTAAACAGGCGCTTGACGAAGAACAATGAAAAACGTACCTGTACTAGACCAGTTTCTGAAGCCCTTCCTAGTACTGGTGGAGAACATGTTTCTCTTGGAGGACGAGGGTGGAGGTCTGTATCCTGGTGCATGGTATCTCGCTGACCTAGGAACAGATCCTGTAGCTGCACCAGCACTTGATGAAGTAGAGGAAACGGTCGAGATCCCTCCTCTGTTCTCCGGAGTTTGTTGCGAGGAAGACGAAGAAGAAGAAGGGTAGGAGTAACTTGGGGAAGCTCTGTAGCCGCCGCTGGAACTTGGTAATGTGCGCGGAAGTGTGGCGGTTGGTAACAGTTGGGCAGGGGTAGAGCGCGGTAAGGTAGTTGACCTAACTTCTTGATTCGCGCGGTCGTTTTTGGGGTCAGGGATGGACGATCGTCGGGGATACCGGAAAAAGCTGCCTAGTTTTTTTGATTTCTTTTCCTCTTCATCTTCTGGTCCTGACGATCCTTGCAAGGAACCTCGACTAGAAGCTGCTAGACTACCTCTACTACTCGTAGTAAGGGAGCCACGACTGCTCGCATTCAAGCGAATGTTGGAGGAACTGCTGCCAATGTGCCGGTCTAAAGAATCCGATGCCTTTAATGTTGAGTCGGAGTCTAGCTGCTCGTAGCTACTTGTGGTCGAGAAATCTGAGTGCCGGAATCTGTCGCAGAGATCGCCAAGCGATTCAGATCGTTCACCGGTGCTGGTTTTGATATCATCGCACTGGATTTTCTCAAGGCTCATATGGCTCTTAGCTTTTCTGGTGTCAGGTCGTTTGCTGGATTTCTTAGCCTTCAGAACGCCGATGTGTTCACGAGCATCGAACTTGTCCTCGTCGATAGTTACACTCTGCCAAACTTCAGGCTCGTTACCACTTCCTTCAGTAACGTAGTATTGAATGCTGGTGATACCGCGCTCCTCAAGACTGCGTTGCGACACTGAGGTCTGGGGAGTTAAGTAAGAGTCGGGCCGAGTATAGTGCCGCGGCGAGTCGTGTGAAGCGAACACGGTTCTCTGGCTCTCGAGCGACGTAAAGTCCTCGGCTGATGACCTTTCGCTGATGATCGAGAGCGCTTTTTTCCGAGACAATTTAGGAGTGCCAGACTCGGGTGATTGTTCGGTGTCTGTTGCACTGCCATCTGATTCAAAGCTCGTATTTGGATAGGCAAAAAGTGGAGGCTTAGAGGACTTCGGATGCATTCTCCCACTGAGGGAATCGATATCGTCACCAGTCTCACTTCCTCCTGATACTTCGTGCATGAGTTCCACGAGACTAGTTCCGATGTGGTGGAAAACTTTGGCTAGCAAAGGAGGCGAGGCATTTTGTGAACCTGAACCTATACTGATGCGGTCACTGTCAGGTTTCATGTGACCGATAGTCGAGAGCAGACGTTGATACATGAAAAGTGTTTCCTTGTTGTTATGAGACACGTCTTCGGAGCTCTCAGAATATGCACGTCCTCCAAATAGAGAATGAGCACTGTCTGTGTCGCTGGGTTCCCTACTTTGGTCAAATTTCTGAATTATCTGCTGGCATGAAGCTGAAATTTGCTTACTCAGCTCAGATGACAGCGGGTGATGAACTGGATGGTCGAATAATGCACTGGCTTCAAGATCGCTAGCGGTGTAGTCAGAGGAGTCGTACGAGTCGCTCCACGTGTCTTCAGAACTCAAATACTCGACAATTTCCTTAACTTGCTCGTCGTTTATGTCAGGAACTTTTTTCATGAGTGAAGTTAGTTTAGCCTCGAATAGGAGCAGTTGAGGACTCTTAACAGCAGATTTTTCCTTGACATTTTCACGAGCTTTCATCAGCATATTCCTGAAGAAAATACGCATTCTGTTCATCATGATGTTAGTTTCTTCATCTGAACTCCAATTGAAAGAATCCTTACGGCTAACTTTTATTCGATCTTTCGAGAATGGAGGAAGATCTGCAGAACTGCCAGTACTTGATCGTGATACTTTGCCACCGTGCCGGCTCCTCTCATCTGCCTCGGACTTGCCATTGAAATCGTTGTCGGCTTTTTCTGACTTGGTGCAATCGTCAGCTTCCACGTCTTGGCCACTTTTTTGTTCCTTCTTGCTCGAGGCACCGCTTTTGTCATCGGCGCTCGAGTCCGAGGAGAGTTTTTCTTTATTGTCTTTATTTTTGCTGGCATCGTCAGGCTTGTCCTTGAGGAGATCGTCAGAGCTACCGATAAAACCACTGTCACGACTCTGGTATTTTCGGTCAGATAAATCTCCAACAGTAGAATGACTTACATCCTTATCTTTATTGGCTTCTTTCTCAGATGTTTCGTGATGACTTCGTTTGTGAAAATTAATAGCGTCGTTTGTCGCTCGCCGCTTCTCGGTCAGTTTGGTCTCTTCTTTGGCTTCGCTTTCCATTGCTTTGATTTCGCTCTTTTCGCTATCAGATCGTCGATCGCTCAAGTCTGAAGAATTCTTCTTTTTCTTCCTTCTCTTAATTGTATCAAATTGCCCGTCAACTTTATCAAAGGCAATTTCTTCACTTTCCGTAGAACCTTCATCTTCCCCGCTGACGAGGTTGCGGTCAACGTCACCATCTTCCCCAGAATGGTGCGAGCCATCAGAAGGATATTCCCCTCTGTCCGAGGAATATCCAAGGCCACGCGATGCCATGCCCTGACGGAAACCTCTAGGCCTTAGAAGTTTCTTCCTTGGCTGTTCTGGACTAGGAGATCCTTCGGAGTCGCTACCCACCGAGCCACTTTCGTCAGTGTGCAACTCTGAGTCCTCACCGACGGACCGTATCGACGGCTGGCGCTCGAAGTTGGAGCCCAAACCCGTCAGGAAATATTTCTCCAGTCGAGAAGAAGCTAATTCTGCAGGATCAATTTCGTCATTTACCTGCCCATCGTTTGTTTCTAGGCTTTCGTTGAAAATAGAACTGGATGTCTCAGAAAACGAGTCGCTGTACTCGCTCTCTTCGTTACCTATTCTTTTGGATTCCGCAGTGCCGTTGCCAAGGCCGAAGAAAAAGTATTTTTCGAGTTCAGAAGGATCTTGATTACTGACTTCATCGTCCTTCTGTCGTCGATCGCAGTCGCTTTCTTCGCAACTTTCTTCAATGATTGTGTGCAATGTGAGATCTAAGTGGGGTCTACAATTTTTTACATCGGCTAGAGGAGCATCAAACCCGTAATCATCATCGTCGTCGTACTCGTCATCAAAATATTCTTCTTCATTCATTTCGTCTCCATACTCGTGGTCGAACGAGTCTCGTTCTTCATATTCCTCGGTGCCGCTTGAAAAGTGTTGACTGTCATCCATAGAATTAGCACTACCGACCTCGCGGTTATCAGAAAGTCTATCTTCTTTTGGAAGCCCCAGTTGGTCGCCTTCGAAGCTTCTCTCTGGCGAGGCGTCTCCTTCGGGAGTCGGGGTGATCACTGGGCTCGGGGTGAGGGATGTGCTTGCTTTTTCGGGACTACCGTCTAAAGTTCGGTCAGGAGTTTTGGTCCTCCTACGAACTTCAGGAGTTTTGTTGAGGCGGCGGGGAGTGTGGGGAGAGTCAAAGCCTAAAGTGAGTGTAAAATAATTAGCAAGACCGGAAGTCGGTTCCGGAGAATCTGATCGCGATCGCTGAAACTGCTCTTGTCGTTCCTTTGATAAAGAAATAACATCCTGCAGTTCCAAGACGTTCGTTTGACGTGAAGGAGAGCCGCTACGTGACGACGAAGGGCTCGTCACTTGAACAGACATGATGTGGTCTGATGACGGCTCTTTACTGCTCACTTCTAAGATCGTCACATCACTCCCCTTAACTTTCTTCTTAGATTCCAGAATATTTTGATCCTGTTTTAAAGACTCAGCGTCACAATCTTCACTAGATTCTGCTCCAGAAGATCCACCAGTCACGACAATACAAGTAGGTTTTATTTGCACATCAGAATCAGTAGAATCTGATCTGATATAAATACGTCCGTGGCTTAGAGGAGCTGGTTTGTCTTCACCGCCCACCGACACTATGGAAACTAAATTGCCTTCCTCGCTATTATCTGAGTGCTGCGATTCACTGTCTCCAGTTAACACAAATTCCCGATCGTCTGAAGCAGAACGATGCTTGTCTTGCAGAGCGAGGCGCTGCTTCCGCTGCTCCACGAACAAACGTTTAAGTGAATTATCAGATCTCGATCTCTCTATGATTGTGTCGGCCGAGTCGCTTGCGTCCGAACGATCCAAATCAGATGATGATGACAGGCCTTCGGAGGACGACGAACGCTTCTTGGTGCGTTTCGGAGCCCGAATAACTTCTGTGTCGTCCAAGTTCTCACTTTTTGGCCTGGATTTCAACACAGGGGTGGTGCTTGATGGATCGCGAAGTGAGCCAGAATCACGTGCGCTGGAACAGTCACGATCGGCGGCACCATCAACTGTCTCGCTGTTGCCTGCACCCAAATGACCTGCTTCACGGTCGCCTACTTGAGATTTCTCATCAAACACATTCGGCGCGCCTACATCACCAACTTGATCACTGGAAACAACACTTTGAGAGCTAATTTCATCACTGCTACTGCCGACTAAACAACCTTCACTGCACAATATATCACGGTCGTTGGGTGTACCGGAAGACGACACACACTCACTCTCCACAGACCCGCAAGCTACTGCCGAACGGTTGCTCGTTACACTGGAACTACACAAGCTCTCTTTATTTCCTTGCTGCAGCTGCAGCTGCTGCTGCTGCGGATCATTCAGTTCCAGTGACTGAGAGTTTCCGGTGTCGCTGATAACATCATTTACGCATTTTCCTGTGACATCCTTAAGAGGTTCTAGGGCAGTCGGTGTTCCGGGCTCGGTGGCGTCGTCAGACTCAGATTTCTGTTTACTTTCCAGGATTTTTTCTTGCTCGCTGGAAGCGGATGGAAGCCGCCAAGTGGGGGAGTCTGGTTGTGGTGAAATTTGCCCCCCGTTGCCCCCAAGCACGTGCGACTCATTAGAGGGGGGGAGGCTGGGGGACGGAGTAACGATGCTTCCGTCTTCGAGTTTCTTGTCACTAATTTCTATGTTGTCAATTTCTTCCCCATCATTTCGTAAAAGATGATCGATTCTTTGACGATTCAACTTGTCACGGTTTGACGATCCGTCGGCATGTTTCGATTTTTCCTCATCTGAAGATTGTGCCATTTCTCCATCGGAAACACGGTAATAATTATCGTTTTCTTCTAATGAGATCGGTTGATTTGCTTCACTTTCTTCCAAGTTTCCCTCGTTTGTTTCTCCAATTTCACATGAAGGTTTAATTTCACTTAGTGCATTAAAAGTTTCATCAGTATCGCTATCGTGCCCTGACGCCTGTACAGCTTGACTAGCATTTACATCTTCATCAGCGTCAACAACATTAATAACATTGGGATTTTTTGAAAATTCATTACCTACGAAATTAAGCTCGTTTTCTTGAGTATCTTTCACAGAAGATGTGGATTCATTTTTAAGTGTATTTTCGGTGTTCATTTCAGTGACGTTGGCAGGCTGTCCACTATCACCCTCGTCGCTCTCAGCAACGTTTTCGATATCAGACGTTGACGAGCTCCTGTTAACGTCATATTGACAGCTGACGTGTACATCGTCGTCAGTATCGCTGGCTGACGATTCACTATCGCAGTCGTCAAAAGCCTCGTCATTATCATCACTTCTCTCGAGGCTCTTCAACTGCAACGTATCATCATCATTATCATCATTGCTTACGATATTCTTAATTAAATCAGAGTGCTGTGTGACTTCAGAATTATTTTGCAAACTTTGTGAATTTTCCTCTTCGTTTGCTTCTTCCTCCAAGGTTTTGTTGTCGTCAGTGGTATCAGTGATGCTGTTATCAGTGTCCGTTACGCTGTTATCAGTGTCACATGACCGGGCAAGACTGTTATCTTGCTCCCGATCCGCTTCCAGATCGGGATCGAATTCCGGAGGGAGAAGTTCCGAATTTGCGTCGGCGGACATTTTTCTGTTGAATTTTGCGGACAGGAATTTTGAGCTCAAAGAAAGTTTAGGAGTTGTGGAATTTTCAACATCGCGATTATATGACGTTACGTTCGCATCGTTCTTAACCGTATGTTCGACGCTGGGTTTCGCTGTCTCGAGATTACGTTTTGTTAAGTCTAAGTTTAAATTTCCGTAATCTTTAGAAGAACTTAAACCTTTGACTATATGAGACGAAGATGTAAGTTCTAGTTCAGAACTAAGAGACTTTGACGATGCTGGGAATAAAGGCTTTGCTAAAATACGGCCTGAAGTTTGGTTGTCGGTTGAAGATTTCGTGAATAAAGATGAAGAATTAACTGGTGCTTGCGAAGGTTGAGATTTAAATGGTTCTGAATATGTGGACTTGACGGAGCTGTCAAGAGAAGTGGACTTGAAGTTTTCTTTTGAAGAATAAGAGTTTGAGATCGTTCCCGAAGATCGAGAATTTAAATTAGTTTCAGCTGTTAGTGACTGCGAAATTTTTTCAGACGATGTGGACTTCGAAGTTTTTTCAGACGATATAGACTTTGAAATTGTTTCTGATGATGTTGAATTAGATATTGCTTCTGAATTTAGAGATTTGGATATCGTCTCTATAGATGGAGTGTTTTCAAGTGCTCCAGAGGATGCGGTATTACAGTTACTACTTGACGGTAAATATGGACTGGAGCCAGTGACCTTGGAAGTGACGTTAGAGTGGACTTGGGACTGGGGGGCAGTGGACTCGGATGACGTTAAGTTCGAGGAATTCAAGGGAACGCGCGACGTTAGAACTCTTGACTCCAGCACATCTTCAGTGGATTTGGCACTTGGTTCGGTAAGTCCTTTCAAGTTGGACTTAAAATTTTTAGTTCTAGGAGGAGGTCGGATGACTGTATCAGCTGTAACTGTAAATGGGTAACTACAACTGGAACCTAAGACGGCCGGTTGCCCTGTACCTTTCCAGCGGTCGACGCCATTTTCTTGCGCGCAAGTAACACTTTTGCTCCAATTTTCTTCACTCACACTCAATGGACTCTTTTTATCACTGACACTATTATTCACACAACCACTAATGACACTTGAAACACTTGTTTGACCAACAATTACACTTGGGTCTTGAGAATGGTTAGCACTGTAATTCACAAGCGACGAGCGGCGCTCACCTTCACACGGCCACGGGTCTTGGGCAACTGAGGAGGGTTCCCGTCTCAGGTGTGCTGGTGGAGGGACGGGGGTGGAGGGGGTGCGGTCACTGGGCAGGTGACTTGAGCAGGTGGAGGTGGAGGTGGAGGTGGACGACACAACGGAGGTGGAGGCGGACGTCATCGTAGAGTTGGAGGTGGTTGTTGTAGCACCTGTGCTGATATTGCGAAGCCGATGCGCTGACAAGGATGCATTTTCTCTTACCTGTGATGCATGATCTGCTGAAATTGCAATTTGTTTGAATTTGTCGTGGGAATCAAAATACGATTGAGGCTTAGCCGGAAAATCCATGGCTTTTAACGAGTCCACTTTACTGGACCGAACAAATGGGACCATTTTTGTGGCGTGTTGAGACATATTTTCCGTTTTTTCACTACCAGAGCGATGATTTTCACGAGCCATTTTATCAGAAACGGGACTTTTATCCCGAGATTTGTCTGACTGTCTTCGTTTGATCGTTTCAACAACTTTATGGTAATTAGAAGACAGACGAGCTTCTTCCGAAAGCTTAACGATGTCCATTTCTCCGCTGGTGTTACGGTCAGATTTTCTCTGGGCTTCACGTTCTGGGCTGCTGGGCTGAATTGAGTCCAGCGGTATACCATCATTAATGTCGGATATTTCGGCTGGGCTTGAATTTTTTCTAACATTATTTTCTTTGGAATTGTTTAAGAAGCTGAAGCTCCCCAGGCTTTTTGATGGTATCGGAGCATTTGATGTTCGGTCCTTTGCTACGTGTTTGCTAAATAAATTATTTCCGGATGAGAAACTTTTGCTTCGCTTAGCGTCTGGAAAAATTATCTGCGAATTATTTGTGAATTCAGGCGCCGAACTTTTTCTATCAGAGAAAAAAACCTTAGGTTTTTTCTCTAGTGTTTTATCAACAGCTGAACTAAACCAATTTTTATTCTGTCCGTTATTTCTCGAAATATTACCGTTATTAGTTATATTTTCTTGATCTACTGTTGTTGTTGTTGCCAGGGAACTACGTGGGAACAAGGATATGTTCTTGGCTGGAATTGCTGGCTTCCTATGCTGCTGCTGATCTTTTTCTTGCAAAGTTTTTTTCGTCCTGTCCAGTAAAAAGCTAGGCCGGCTGGTGGCAGAAACATCGCTTACACTGCGGTTCAGATCTAGTCTTTTGCCATCACTTTTAGCAACTTTAGAATCTTCAATATTTTCTGCAGTAATATTCGAATTTCGGTTATTGACAGTAGATGATTGTTTGTCAATTAAAACACTAGGTTTGAACCTATCCAAAGTAAGGTTTTTGTCAAGCTTTACAAAAGATTCTTCGCTCGGGACAAAATCTTCTTTCTTCGAATCGGCCTTCAGATCATTTCTTTGTACAGGTTGACTATGAATATTGACAGTGATTTCTCTCGACTTTCGTCGGTCGGCAGTGATGTGAGCTGTAGAAATGTTCTTTAGATTGTTCTTAGCTTCGTTGTTTTTGATAATTTCATTAGTTTTTGCGAGAGGTACGACAAATTCGCGGCCCGGCGAGTCGTTTCCTGCACTACGCGTCGAACGATTCGAATCTTCAAAAATATTCACTTCGTTACTATTCATTCGAGAAGAAAAATTTAATTTTGGTGTTGAAGAAGAAAAATTCTTTACGTCGGTTTTAGCCGAACTGGGCTTAAATTTCTCCGTTGGGGAAAAGGCTCCCATGAGAGCTGCTTGAAGAGCTTGTGCTTCAGCCTGCACCACTTCAGTTTGTTGGAGCATCGCTTGCAGCTGGCTAGGGTGGATTGCCCCCAAAGGGGGGAAGAAATCCCTGCCCACCGGTGGGCAGAGATGACTGGGTTTAGGAGGGCGTGGTGGGGGCTCGTCAGGGTCATACCCGTGCTGGGATTTGGATCTCGGTCGACTCCTGGAGTCTTCCCGGGAAGTTCGGCGAGATTTCCTGTCACTAACAGGCACTGGATTCTCTTGATCACTCGGTGATTCTTCTTGGTTATGCAAGAACCGTTCAGTGTTCACTGCTGCGTCGACACGCCGATGCGATTTTTGAGATTTTCCATGGAAAGAATTAGCTTTAGTTACTTTCGAGACAGGGTTTGCCTCCGACTCACCAGATGTGTTGAGATCGGAGCCTTTGGAGGAATCAGAGCTTATAAAGACGAGCTTGTAGTCGTCGCCTTCTGGGGCTGATCGTTCGTGACCAAAGTCGTGGTAGGAAGTAATCACGTCGCCGAGGGTCGCATCCGAAAGAGGACGACGGCGGTTTAGGGATCCTTCGGGCACGCGGGTTCGAGGCGTGGACCTGTAGTTCTGAGCATCGTAAAATGAATGGCGATTAGAAGGAGGCTCTGACGGACTGTTGATAACGTCATCAGACGAGTACCGCCGTGCCGTTGGTCTGCTAAGGTCATCCGACCATCGCCATGAAGGTTTTCGAGAATCCGGATCACTAGGGGTGGTTGGATGTCGGTCCTGCCGGAAGGATCGAGGGCTATCCCGTGAATCGTCCGCAAGGTCATCAGGATTCGTAGCATGTCTGTCCCACCGTCGTTTGGCAAGACTGTCGACTCCGCACCATGTGGGCGACTCCTGTGAATATTTTTTGAGCAGCTGTAATGACTCTGAGTTGATGATCTCGTTGGTAATGTTGCGCCGCGGACTACGGCTTCTCAAATCCAATGTCAAATGATCTCTCGGGACTCTCGCCGAATCTTGAGAAAACCGCGATTGTTCTCGATGATCGCCAGAGACAAGTCCAGTGTCTCTTGTAGATCGGCCCAAGAAACGATCATGATTATGATGATTAGTATTGGATTTCAGAGATCTACCCGCGTCACGATCACGACCACTGTAATCAATATTGTCTTTCGATGATCGATCTAAATCACGTGATCGTCTTGGTAGATCCAAATAGGCCTCATTTGAGCTAGGATGTTGTCTGGTGTTTAGAGTCCCAGTTGGTTGTTCAAAAGAAGATGGAGATCTTCTAGGTTGAACATATGGCCGATAACGATCGTTAACTTGATGACCAAGAAGATCTCTCGAACTTGACGCCAACTTAAACGAGTGTGAATGAGTGATGCTCGGACCTTTCTTGTACTCAGAATCACGATCCAAATGTGGGTACTTAAAAGAGTGCGAGTATTTCAAATCTTTCTTCGGGAAACTACCATACAACGAAGATCCTAAGTCATTTTGGCTAGACATGTTTGTTCTGTGAGTTAACATGTTATCCACGGTGGACTTAATGCCTTTCTCGAGTTCTTGGACGTATTTAGCGACGTTGCCACGTGACGTAGATATTCCTGAATCCAGAACTGCGGACTGGGCGAGCGAGAGGTCGCCTCCTTCAGGTTCGTGGAAGGATTTGGACCGACGCAGGATTTCTCCTGCTGGGCGACTAGGTCTCCTAGCGCGTCCTGTGGTGGCGAACCCTTGAGGGAAGAACACTGCGCTCACGTACATGTAATTCAGTGAAGATATTTTTAAAATCCACGTTAACCCTTTCGTAATGTATTTTATAAATCATAGCTACCTCTACACAAATTTACCTGCACTTACATTTAAAAATTTGTCCATCAACTGGAATATATCACAGTAAAGTTATGCACGATACCTGTACTATTAAAACATTGATACGAATTTTAAATGAAGAAGAGTAAATAATTGCTGCCAGATTGGACTAAGTGATGAAAAGAAAATACGAAGACTGACTCAAATTTTTGAAGAAAAGCTTGTGGGTTAATTGGAACAGATTTAATTAGTATAACAAGCACCTCATGCTGACGATATATAGAGCACCTCATGCTGACGATATATAGAGCACCTCATGCTGACGATATATAGAGCACCTCATGCTGACGATATATAGAGCACCTCATGCTGACGATATATAGAGCACCTCATGCTGACGATATATAGAGCACCTCATGCTGACGATATATAGAGCACCTCATGCTGACGATATATAGAGCACCTCATGCTGACGATATATAGAGCACCTCATGCTGACGATATATAGAGCACCTCATGCTGACGATATATAGAGCACCTCATGCTGACGATATATAGAGCACCTCATGCTGACGATATATAGAGCACCTCATGCTGACGATATATAGAGCACCT